ATCAATAAAATAATATTTCTATGAAATAATAATATTTCATAATTTTACCTATATTAATTTAATAAGTTTTTTATTGTATATGATGATGATAAAAAATATTAAATAATTGTTCATATGCATAAATTTTAATCAAAAAGTTAAATCTTAGAAGCTAGAATAAACATTTTAATGGATTAAAAATCGAGTATCACGATGATTCTATATAGGGCAACTTTCACATATAACAAACAAAAAATTTATATTTATATGCTATAGCAAAGTTTACATAATTCCGCTCCATAGCAAACATAAAACTGTATAATTCGCTATACGTATACAATTGTATAATTCGATGGCCTAAATTGTATAATTCGCTGGCCTATTTCGCTGCAATTGTATAATTCGCTATCTTATTTCACTGCAATTGTATAATGCACAATTGTATAATTCATTGCCTATTTCGCTGCAATATTTGTATAAAATTTGTTTTGCATACAATTGAATCGAAGTAAAATGTATGTATATTGCATAATTATAAGTATATAGGAAGAAGATATATGTTTTTCTCTCGCTTTATACAAAAACAGAAACACAATATATACACTTTTGTTGTATAAAACGAGAGAAAATTATATTTCACTGCAATTGTATAATTCGTTGGCCTTTTTCGCTGCAATATTTGTATAAAATTTGCATTTATCTACAATTAAATTGAAGTAAAATGTTTGTAAATTGTATAATTAAGTGTATAACACGAATATATATTTTTGCATGTGTATTTACAATTTTCTCTTGCTTTATACAAAACAGAAACACAATTTATACACTTCTGTGTATAAAGCGAGAGAGGCGAGCAGAGGGAGAGTGGCGAGCGAGAATGGGAGAGTGGCGAGTGAAATTTTTGGGAAAGAGGCGACTGACAAACTTTGGCTAACGTTTGCTATGGAACACAATTAAATCAAACCGTAGCTACTCCATTTATTTTAGGTTATTAGTTTGCTATTATATATAATTATCTCTTCTATATATAATCGATTAATTTAAACTAACCCGAAAAGATTCACCACTAAAATCACTTATTTAAACTTACGTAAATTAAATCAATCATATAACTAACATTATTAATCACACTGTTCAATACTCTTGTTATCCATCCTGCTTAGGGATGGGGTAGCCATGATATGATATATATCAAAATATCATATTATATCGATATTTTTAATATTATAATTTTGATATTATGATATTTGGAATGATATACGATATATATCACAATTTTATTATTGTTCTTTATGATATTTGATATTTAGATATAATATATTAAAATAGCGGATATTATATTAAAGTATATAGTACATAAATAACATATATTTTATTAAAATACTAACAAATATGCAATCTAGCTAGTATAAGTATAAGTAAAATGTTGAAAAGTTAAAATTTTAACTACTCCATTACGAGTGAAATGTATTTAAATTATAATTGATTAACAAAAATAGTTGTTAATAGTTTATTTTGCATATATATTTAATTTCACCAAATATATCATACCATAAAATATCAAAATTAAACTTTATATATCAAATGATACTAAATTAATATAATATTTTAAATAATTATAAATCAAAAATATCAAATATATATATATCTACTCTGTCAATTGAATGGTGCTCAACCAAAACAAACAACAGAATCATTTTATTTTAAATTATATTTGTTGTTATTCCAATTGTCTTTTGTAAAGTTGACAAAAGTAAATTATATTTGCAGGGGCAGAAAATCTGACTGCGCCGCCATTATTTGACGTTTCCCGTTAAGTGGCCGACATTTACCCAAAACTTTGCCACTGTCTCGTTTTCCCATCAGCTAACGGCTATCGATTTAGAGCCGTTACTGTCAATTTACTTTATTTAATGAGTAATTTATAGATATATAAATATTTATAACTTTATTTTGGAATACGTTAATTCAAATAATAGTACACAATTTTAATTAATTATTTATTCTTTTATTATTTTAGTGTATACTACGTAACAAAAAAAATAAATTGTTATAATCATGGAGATATATCATTTTGTAAAAAATACTTTCTGAAAAAAAATTAATAAATTTATCCATAAATTAATTATAGATTATATATCACTTTAATTTTTAATAGGTTATTAAATTAATAAATAAACGAATTAACAATCCATTCAAACTTAAATGCATAAATTTTTAATGAACTTATTCAATTTATAAGAACTCTGAATTAGAATAAATAGAGTTAGCCAGCCAAATAAGCTGACTCAACATATAATGGTACTTCCACTTGTTGACAAAAGTATAATAATTACTGTGGTCCTTAGCTCCTCATTGTTTGTGCCCCCACCCCACCCCCCACCCTTACCGAAAAATATATTAATTGCTCCCTTATTTTATATTTCGTGAACTGCTTCTTTTATTTCATATTAATTAAATTTGTGAGGCAAACAAAAATTTGTTTACATAATTTAAATTATATATTTATACTTTTCTTTTTTGTATAGAGTTATTAATATATGCTAGTTCACCCTATTCAAGCTAATTCGTATAGGCTTTGATATTTTATGCGTCAGATCGGTTATTTTTTATGTGGGCCCAGAAAATCGGTCCAACTCATAAGTACGTGGGCTACAGGCTTGCTGGATCAGTGCACTTTATTTTAAAAATTATATTATATTTAAAATTATAAAATTAAATTATAAATTATAATTTTAAAATATTCATAAATATTGACAAAATTATATTACATGACGTTAATATTATTACTTTTTAATCAAATCCACGAATAAATTATCTTTATAATATTCATTAAGTTTTTTTTAAGTAAAATTATAAATATCTAAATAGAAATATTAACCTAATTGTTTTGAGTTTCAACTCTTTTTAATTTTAAATTTTAATATTATATTATATTTTTTAATTAATCTTTATTGGCCCACGGGCCGGCCCTATCGATATTTCTCAAGTCCCTCAAATCAGCAGGCTTATTCAAACAGAGCTAAAAAGTCCTTTTCTCAAATGAGCTTCAAAAATCGTATACCGACCCTATTAAATCTCGGGTTAGGCCAGACCGATCCAAGAGTTGGGAACCAAAATAAGCCACCAAAATATAAAAATGGCCAAAATAAGCCACTATTTTAGTTAGTAACTAAAATAAGCTTAGTGGAAAAAAAAGTTCCACTTTATCTAATTTTCTAAACGTTTTCCATTAAGATCATAACGTGTATTTTTAATGTATAACGAAACTTTTTCTTCCACTTTATAGAAAATTACTTTTACCTTTTCACCTTCTTCTCCTTCTTTCTTTCATTCATGGCTTCTATGTTACACTTGAAGATGAATATTGATGGTCCCAATCCGACAAATGAAGTGGCCCCACAATAAATAAATCAAAAATTCAGAGTAGCACAACCCGACAACATAACAATTCGTCCCTACAAATTATATAAATTAGGTATTTCTTTAACATCTCATATTTTCTTTATTTAGAATGTGTTTCATTTATCTCATTATGTGTTAGTATAGTATTTTTGATTAGCATTCTTTAAAATCTTGATGTAGCATTCTCTTCATTTCTGCTTGTTAGTGGGACATTAAACATTTTTGAGAATGATTTTTTTTAAAAAAAAAATTGTTTAGAAGAAACATATATCTTCATCTTACACTATTGTTGATAATTCTCCGCCTAGCAAGAAACCTAGTGATTGGTGGCGTAAGACCAAGGGTTATCGGAACCCTAAGAGGAAACAGAGCCTTATTAAGCAGCACAACTACAGCAAGAGCAGCGCCACTTGACGCTGCCAGCTTAGCAGTACGATTCCTCTGTTTTGGCGTCGGCGCCGCCACACCATCCTGATTAAAGGGTTCTTCGATAACAAACCCAGCAGAGGAAATCACTTGCTGGAGTGAATTAGGAAATTTCATCTACTTTTTCTTTTGATAAACCCGGCATTCCGATTTTTTCGAACAGGGCTTCAACGTCTACATTGTTCTTGACAGCAACACAAAGACTTGTAATTGAAGCTGCTGAAACAGAGAAGTGAACACCCAATGCTACCTTTCCGTATTTCTTCAATAGCTCTCTCAATATTCCAGTCATGTAGCAATGTCTATAAGCTTTATGATTTACCGATTAAGTTATTTTTTTTATTTTTTTTTGAAAACAACAATATCTTTTCAAATTATAATCACAAGCCCTACACTGAATGTGAATAACAATTTCACACAACTACTGGAAATTAATTATTAAAACTTTGATTTTATATTAAATTAAGTTTTAATAATTTTAGATTCATACTACGGGACCTTCATCTACAGTGGAGGAGAGTCCCACGACGATCATAGAGGATGTTGTTCCGACAGTTAATGAGGATCCCGATGTTACACAGGTTTATGTTA